ATTCAAGAATATTTTATACGCTGCATTTAGGAGCGTAATTCCTCGATGGTTAGAGCATTCAAAGATATCTCCCTTTTTGTAAAGGGTACAAGGTATTCCAATATTCCAATCACTAGGAAGGGATTTCTGTATTCATATATTTTTTATCTGTATCCATGTATTTTTTATAAGCTGCTGTAGCGCTATTATGATATCGTGGCCACCTTCTTTATATAATTCCGCTGGGAGATTATCTATTCCGGGTGATTTGTTTCTGGCTAGTTTGTTTACAGCGTCTCCACTACAGCGTGGTGGATCCTCCTCCCTCTCGCCTGCTCCGCTTACCACACAGCTTTCATCTTCCGGGTTTTCTTCTTCTTCCTCTATATTAAGGATCTGGTTAAAATATTCCGTCCAATGATTTAGTACGTCTGTTCTTGTTGTTAATAGATCGCCATTCAAACTTCTACATTGATTTGTATTTGCCTTGAACTTTTGCCTTTTTAATCAAATTTTGTTGTAAATAATAGAACATTTAACTTTCAAAATCAAGTTGTTTTAAACTTTTTAAACAGACTTTTTATTTAGTAAATATCGAATTTATTCCATCCTTTACGGACACACTGTATAAATATTATATTATTTTTATTTTAGTCCTAGGCCTTTAAGGCCTATTGACCTTTTGTTACAGGTCCAAAGAATTCAAAATAAATTATTGAAAAAAAGTTTTATTATTTTAATTTTGGCTAAATAATTGTTACAACTCCACAAGATTTCATGGAAAATTAATGCATTCCCGAGTCGTATTTGGTCTCTGAGATGATCTATTCGTTCTTTCCTTGATTCGGTACAGCCTAAAACAAAAATAAGTATAAATTTAAATGAATAATAAACTTTGAATTAAAAATAAACAAACCAAAAAGCCTATTTCTTGTTTTAAAGGTTAAGGTCAAAAATAGCTAGATAGAATTCTTCTTTTTGTATTTTTAAACAGATCTCAATCCTATTAGTAGTACAACAACTTATTTTAAATAAATTCTTACTGGACAATGGCCGGCGCCAGATAAAAAAAAACTTATCTCTAATTTTTTTCTTTTCCTTTCTTTGGTGGTCTTTTTGTATGGAAAAGTATTGGTTCGTGTAGAACTTACAACGCAATTTTGCGGTTTTTCTAGAGTTTTCTTGATAGTTTTCCGAAAATTTAATAGTTGTAGCAGTGAGAAGCTGAGCAATTATCACCTATCGTGTGGACTTGTTTTCTAAAACTAAAAGAACGCGATTTTATAAACTAATTTCGTATTAGAAACACTTTAAGGCCGCATTTGAACAAAGGTAGGTTTTTTTTTGGAAAAAAATAAATAACTACTTACATTTTAAGGCCTTTTATTTTTACTCTGTGATTTAATCTCAAACCATTTTGATCATATTTTCAACTTATATTTATAATCTTGGATTGGCTATCAGTTTTCCATATTAGTTAGCATCGGATGTTATCCAATTGTCCATAAGAGAGGAAGAACCTAAAACGTCGAATTATTAAAGGAAATAATAATAATAAATATTCAGTACTCACCTGGGATCGAGTCTCCAGAAATCAAGAAGATAGACTTTCTAACAGCTAAGTGGAAATTTATTCTTAATTTTGGTAGAATCGAACATCACACTAAATTTCTCAATTTTTTTAGTACGACACTGTAATTAGAACCCCGCTGTAGTGGTTATAATAAGAACTTGTTAATTAACCTTTTCACTTTATTGTTCAACTATTGATTATAAAATGATTTAAAAAAGAAATCTTTAATAAAGACAAAAGTAGCAATCGAAGAATATATTGATTTATTGATAATCATTCCTTTACCCACTTCCCTGAGGGCTCTCCGAAAGAGCGATTACAAATAAATATCACTTTGTCAATAAATAAATAAATGAATTTTAAGTATTAACATTAATTACTATTAAACTGGGAATAAGCCACAATTAAAGATAAAAATACGTTTATTGACGTTTCAATTTCCACTTCGGAAATCGTTCTCAAAATACAAACAGTAAATTAAACAAATTTTGTTTTTTGTTACATAGTGAAAAATTCTTCTAATAATTTAATTTTATCTGACTCATTTATATTGACAATTCAGACATACATTATGCATTTTAAAGTAGATGACTTTAAAATGATATTGCCAATATTGTTGAGTTGCGCTCCTGGGACGACTTTACTTATAAGATAGTTCATTCGATTACATGAAATCAACTTTAACTTGAGAATATCCGTCAGAAAAAAAAATGATAGCATGTAATTCGTCTTTAAAAAGACAAACACATGACATGATGACAGTAAAATTCCCCTGTTAGTGATTCCTCATTTAGCATAATTAAAGCCGCTTCTTTGATTTTTCTTCTTTTACCATACGTCTCTTTTAGGACTACATTTGAATTATTCCATTGAACCCTATGTTCATTATCCTATGTTCATTATTCATTATGAATAATTCAAATGTAGTCCTAAAAGAGACGGATGGTAAAAAAAAATCAAAGAAGCGGCTTTAATTATGCTAAATCAGGCCAATTGTGTCGCAAATTCCCCAGCAGAATGTAGTAGGATCTGGTTACCAATATTGAAAGAGGAAGTTATTAATAAGAAAATACCAGTATTAATAAGTCAGTAGGATACATCATTTATGTTTTTTAAATAACGAAACATATAAAATCAGAATTTTGGTGTTTATTGAAGGTAAACTAAATGCACGAACAAATCCTTACCATGTCGGGATAGCATTATGAGGTTTTTTTCCTGGTTTTTCCCTCATAATTTACTATAAAATCACTAACAGGAGAATTTTACTGTCATCATGTCATGTGTTTGTCTTTTTAAAGGCGAATTATATGCTATGAATTTTTCTGACGGATATTCTTAAGTTAAAATTGATTTCATGTAATCGAATGAACTATCTTATAAGTAAAGGCGTCCCACAAGAGCAACTCAACAATATTGGCAATATCATTTTAAAGTCGTCTACTTTAAAATGCATAATGTATGTCTGAATTGTCAATATAAATGAGTCAGATAAAATTAATTATTAGAAGAATTTTTCACTATGTAACAAAAAACAAAATTTGTTTAATTTACTGTTTGTATTTTGAGAACGATTTCCGAAGTGGAAATTAAAACGTCAATAAACGTATTTTTATCTTTAATTGTGGCTTGTTCCCAGTTTAATAGTAATTAATTTACAATGCCACAAGAAAATAGCTTCAGAACAATATTAAGTATTAACACATTTTCTATACATTTTGAATGTAGCTGTACTAAAATCCAAATTAAAATTTGTATTATTTAAAGTAAACATTTCAATTAAATTTTTTTTCGCGGCGTTAAACATGAACCTACAACCCGTAAATGATTTGAAGCAAATAACTTTCCCTTATTTCGTGTCATTTCCCGCGAACGGGTTTGCATTCCTACAAATACGGCTTTAAAAATTCCATTCTTAATTAAATGCGTGCAAATTAAGGTTTTCCCGAGGTCTGGTAGACATAACATAAAATCAAATCATTTCTTTCCTTTTCGGCTTTCAAAGAAGTGGTGGTTACGATCACTCGGCAGATGTCACATTTGTAGAACGTAAAATTTTAGGGGTGTAAAAGCGGGTATAAAGTTTTAATTGGTTTTATAACATGGTAATTTGGAAAATATTTTTATATGATAAGTATAATAAGATTGATTATTTATATTTCTGGTATTAAAGGTGACATAAAATTGTAAAATTTGAAAACCATAAAAACCATAAATGGCCAAATGTAAGAGAGCGATTTTTTTGGTCAATATTGTTATACTTCATTAGCTTAGCTCGGGCATATTTTGACAGATTCATTGTCAGAAACCTACAACACAACAATTGTTGTGCAACTAGTGCAGACTTCTTTCTTTAAAAAAGAAGAATTATCCTAAATAGTGGAAGTGTATATTAAACCCATCAAAATTTCCATGTATAATTAAAAATAATATTTGAGTCGTTACAATTTAATAAATTGTAGTAAATATTTAGTAGTAGTCATAGTAGTCACATTACGAACCAAATTAAAACTGGTTAAAACACCCACACAAAGTAGAATTGATATTAAGAGATTAAGGGAACCACAAACAAAGGAACAAACTATAAAAACTCTTACTGAAAATCTATGTAATGCCCAAGAACTGAATAAAAGTAGCTACAACATTGATCAGAAATGGGAAAATATAAAAGTAACAATAATTAAAACAGCAAATGAAAACTTAAAACCAAAGAATAGAAAACATATAGATTGGATGGCTGAAGAAATAATACTATTAATGAATGAAAGAAAATCATTCAAAACAAAAAATCCAACTAATATATTGAAACTGATCGATTAATAAAAAGAGAATAAAAGAAGCTAAGGAGAGAATGTTACATGAGCAGTGCCAAGAACTAGAAGAAATTGAGAAAAAATAACACTTTTTTAACATGCATAAAAGGATTAGAGAATTAACAGGAATGAGAAAAACACTTCAAACTAGGCAACTAAGAGATGAAAGGGGTGTAGTTATAATAGATATAAACCAAAAAATGCAGAGATGGACACAATATATAGCACAACTTTTTGAAGACAAAGAGAGAACAGAAGCACCAAAAGAATTTAAGGATGATATTGGGACTGACCTTATACGAGAAGAAATTGAATATGCAATGAAACAATCTAAAGGTGGTAAATATCCCGGGCCTGATGAAGTTCCTATCGAATTACTTAATTACTTAATTATTAAATTGTGAATACTGAATATATTGATCTTTTTTTGGATCTATCAATACCATATATAGAACGGGTATAATACCTAAAGAATGGCTCCAATCAACATTCATACTGCTTCCCAAAAAAGCCAATGCAAAGGAGTGCAATGAACATCGCACCATAGCCTTAATGAGTCATGTCTTGAAATTGTTTCTAAAAGTAATTCACAATAAATACATAAGAAATTAGATGAAGGCATAAGTAATACACAAATGGGATTTAGGAAAGGACTGGGAACACGAGATGCACTGTTTGCATTAAGTGTTCTTTCGCAGAGATGCTTAGATATTAATCAGGAAGTATATGTCTGTTTCATTGATTTTGAGAAGGCATTTGACAGAGTGCAGCATAATCTACTGAAATTTTATTAAATAAAAACATAGACAGTAGAGACATTAGAATCATCTGCAACCTCTATTGAAATCAAACAGCAAAAGTGAAAGTTGAAAACGAACTGACCAAGGATATCCAGATTCGCCAAGGGTGTATTTTATCACCCTTGTTATTCAATTTATACAGTGAAGCCATCTCAGAATTAGGACTTGCCGAGATCAGTGAGGGCCTTATAATAAACGGTGAGCCACTTAATAACATACGATATGCTGACGACACCGTCCTTCTGGCAGGAACACTAGAAGAACTGCAACACCTTGCTGAACAACTAAATATATATTTCAACGATTATGGACTAAAAATCAATTTGAAGAAAACCAAGTTCATGGAATTTACAAAAGCACAAAACATCAAAGTTAAGCTAGTACTAGATAATACAGAAATTGAACAAATATCTTCGTACAAATACCTTGGAGCATGGATCACAGAAGATACTGATCAAACAAAAGAAATAAGATGCCGCATTGAAATTGCGCGGTCAACTTTTAATAGAATGAGAAAACTTTTTTGTAATCGTGATATCTATATATCGCTCCGGATAAGAATATTTCTATGTTATATTTTCTCTACCCTTTTGTATGGATTTGAAGCTTGGACACTTGAAAAATCCAACTTTAAAAACCTAGAAGCATTCGAAATGTGGTGTTACCGACGTATTTTGAAAATATCATGGATGGATCGCAAAACAAACGAACAAGTTCTCGAACAACTAGGAAAACAATGCGAAGTTTTAAATTCCATAAAAATCAGGAAATTGGAATTCTTGGGGCACATCATGAGAGGTAAAAAGTACGAACTACTAAGGAATATAATGCAGGGTAAAATCAAAGGTAGAAGAAGCGTAGGAAGACGTAAAATCTCGTGGCTACGCAATCTCCGTGAATGGTTTGGATGCAGTTCAATTGAACTATTCAGGCGAGTAACCAATACAATTATAATTGCCAGAATGATTTCCAATCTTCGATAGAAGTGGAACTTGAAGAAGAAGAAGAAGTAAATATTTGTAATATTCGCGTTCTTTATTTTAGCTAATATAGGTTTATTGTTCTATTCAGTATATATTTAAGTTATAGTTCTATTTAGTTAATTAGTTAGTTCTATTTTTGAATTTTATTATTAGGGATAGTCAAAGTTTTCCATTTGTTCTATAAGATAATGTGTTGGTAAGTTTTTCTTAAATACATATGATAAATGTTCTTTAAAAGTTAATATTTTTAGATGAGTAAGAATGCTGTTAAATTACAAGGTAATCAAACTGCACAAAGATTTATTCAAAACACCAATCACTTTTTCTTTAATATTTGCTTATTTGGCGTAGGTTGATCACTAAAATATATTTATGAAATTATGTAAATATGTTCTTAATAACAAAAACATCTTAGCTAACATCCAGTTCAGTTTGACATGGCGTCAAAAATTAAATTCGCCTAGAAATTTATAGCATGTATAAAGCTTCTATTACATATAAAATATATATAGGTATATATATATATATATATATATATATATATATATATTATTAAAAAGTTACAGTAATTTAGTTTATATCGTTCAGTTGTTCCAAATGTAGGCAACCAATTTATTTTTGTTAGCATTTAGCTGGAAATTCTTGAGAATATTTTTAATAAACGTTTAATATTTTCCAGTTAATTTATTATTTTTTAAAAGTGATGATAATAATGCTAAATAAGCAATATTTTAAATGATATTTAATCATAAAACGTACTTAATATTGTGTTATTAGTGCGGATATAATCCGCATAATAAAGTACGTTAGATAAAAAGGTAAAATCCCGGGTCGGCCAAAACTAGTTTCTGATAAGAATAATAGAATATTATGATATTTTTGAGTTATATTTTTGATAATATTGGATTATATTTTTAATGAGTGATATTTTTTATTTATAATATGAATATTGTGATATTATTAGGATTATATAACACAATATTAAGTACGTCTTGTGATTATATATCATTTGAAATATTGTTTATTCAGCACTATTATCATCACTTTAAAAAAATAATAAATTAACTAGAAAATATTAAATGTTTATTAAATATATTCTCAAGAAACTCCAGCTAAATGCTAACAAAAAGTTTAAGTTGGTTGCCTACATTTGACGCAACCTAACGCTATATACTAAATTACAGTAACTTTTTTATAAAATATATTTTTTATATATAATAGAAACTTACTTTCTTTATACGTGCTATACATTTCTAAGTATTCTAGTATAAGTTTGCAAAAGAGGTCGACGAAATACTCTAAATGAAATGGAATGAAATGCGCTATGAGCACGTGTGCTTGGTTGTATAGTAATTTCCAGCCTCTTCAAGTCTGTCAAAAAGTAACTAACTTAGATCTTAAAACCACTAGACAGTTCGGACCGGGATTAGCAAACCGAGTATATCTCATTATCATCAGTATCCAGCCTTCAATTATTACGTCCACTTCTGAACATAGGCCTCCCTTAATCTTCTCCATTCATTTCAATTTTGTGCTCTTTGTTGCCAATTTTATAATATTTGTTGTAATTTTTCTCATTCATCGTGAGTCATGCATTCTCGCTACATGGCCTGCCCAATTCCATTTTAGTTTCGCTATGCGTTCCACAACATTAGCAATACTCTTCCTTCTTCGCAGATCTTCGTTTCTTATTCGGTCCCGGAACGTCACTCCCAGCATAGACCGTTCCATTCGTCTCTATCTTCTTCTTCGCGTGCCATATCAGAATTATCCGACGTTGGCTATCACCATTGCGTAGGCTTCTTGATCTTCTGCAATATGGAATAATTGTCCTGCATTTGATATCTGAGTCCATTCACAAATATTTTTTAACCAAGAAACTTGTTTTTTTCCTACACCTCTACCGCCCTCTATTTTGCCTTTAAGGATCAGTTGTAAAATTTTATATCGACTTTCCCTTACTATATGTCCCAGATAAGACATGTTTAATAGTCTTTAGCAGTTCTCTATCTTTGTTGACGCTCCTTAGTACTTCTTTATTAGTTTTTCTTGCTGTCCACGGTATCTTCAGCATTCGTCTATGAACCCACATTTCCAATGCTTTAAATTTGTTCATGATCGAAACTTTTAGCGTCCACACTTCTGCACTATACAAAATTACATACCAAACATAGCAGCACTTAACCATTCTTTGCCTTAGTTCTAAACTGAGATGGTTATTGCAAAATCATTTTTATAAAAGTAGTTTTAGTCATTGCTATTCTACGTTTTATTTCTATATCTGGATCTAGTTGGTCCTTTATCACAGTTCCCAAAAATGTTATTTTGTGAACTTTCTCACTTGGACTCCGTTCAATTGAAGCTTTGTATCGGGATGTGGGTCACGACTAAACACTAAAAGTTTGGTTTTGTTTGAGTTTATTTTAATGCCCATTTCCTCTCCTACTTCGTAAATACGATCAAGCAGAATTTGAAGACCTTCAATATTATCTGATAGAATTACTGTGTCGTCTGCATATCTAATCACATTAAGTAGTTTCCCGTTGATTTTTATTTCATATGGTTGTCTCTCAAGTGCCTTTTTAAATAGCTGGTCTAAGTAAACAATGAACAATGTTGGCGACAAAATGCAACCTTGTCTGACTCCTCGTTGTATGGGGATTTTATCGTTGTAGTTATCTCCAATTTTTACGATAGCAATTTGATTCAAGTACAAATTTTTAATGACACGAATATCCTTGTCATCTATTCCGATATTTTTCAGTATTTGCATTAATTTTACATGCTGTACTTTATCGAATGCCTTTTCGAAGTCTACGAACTATGCAAATACATTTTTTCTTTGGTAACGGCATTTTTGTAATAGTATGTTTAGCGCAAAAAGTGCCTCCCTGGTTCCCATAGCATTTCTAAAACCAAATTGGATATCTTCAAAATCTTCTCCGCATTTGCGTCTAATTCTGTTGTGAAGTATTCTGGGGAAAATTTTAAGAGTGTGACTTATTAGGCTAATTAATTGATATTCTGAGCATTTTCTCGCATTGTGTTTTTTAGGTATTGCGATAAAGATGGATTTGAGCCAATCTGCGGGAATCACTCCGGTGGTATATATTGAATTAAAAAGTCTTACTACTACTTTTATGTTATCATTATCTATTAGTTCAAGCAACTCAGTTAGTGTATCATCTAGACGACAAGCTTTTCCAATTTTAGCATTAATTATTAATTGTTACGATAAGGAATGTGCAAAAAAAGGTGTAAACGCAGGTCAATGAGACGAATAATGTTACCTTGGAAAAGTTTAACGCACCCTTGAAATAACGTTAATCAAATAACAATTTTAATGTTTTTGTAAATACAGTATTTTATTTATAAAAATACCGAACTGGTAGTTATATTCTTCGTTTTTCACAAAAAATATTTAATTTTTCTCTTTATAACTCTATTTCCATAATTAAAAAATTATAATGTTTATCTTTACGCAGAAATATTTCTATCTAACATTATATATTTACATTATTTGTTTTTACATAAAATGCACCCACTAAAAACATTCAGAAATATACGCTAATCAACTTTATTTGCTCAAACCTTCCAACTCTGCAAATGTAAAATAAATGGGTCACTCAGCAAAAACCGGTAAATTCTTTATCGCTGAAAGAGAAGCAAAACCTCGTTTGCTTACACATTTGAGGCAGTTAACGACCAAATATAAATTTAAAATTAATTCAGAAGGAGTGTTTTGGAGTTTGGTATTTTCGATTTTTTGCTTCTAACACAATAATGAAGTAAAAAATTACCCTCAAAACACAATTTTATTAGTAAACTAATTTAAATCCTACAAGCTCTGGTTGATAACTAAAGTCCGTCTCACATTGTTCATCCAGTACAGGCTCTTATTTTATTTAACAACATTCATCAAATTATTCAACTAAAACTGCTTCTTTTACAAAAAGATGCACAGAAGATGGACCTGTGAAAGTCCAAACGGTAGAACCAGGAACGAAATCGACTACATCATAAGTGACAAAAAACAAATAATTAAAGATGTAACAGTACTCAACAAGTTCACCACAAGCAGTGACCACGGAATGATACGAGCGAAAGTCCAAATCAACACAAAAAAAAAAGAAACATAATGGTTAAAAATGAAACTCATGGTACCTGGATTCATTCATCATCATGCAGCCTCAAGAGTCCACTGCTGAACATAGGCCTTTTCCTCATGTTTCCAACCCCGTCTATCTTGCGCCGCTCTTATCCAGTTTTTATTGAGTTTTCTTAAATCGTCAGTCCATCTTGTATGTGGTCGACCGACGCTTCTTTTGTCTTCCCTTGGCCTCCATTCCAATAACCTCTTTGGTCCATCGCCCATCTGTCATTCTGGCTATCTTCTCGATGATGTCAGTCACTCCGGTTCTTTTCCTGATGTCTTCGTTGGTTATTCTGTCTCTCAGAGTTATTCCTAACATGGACCGCTCCAATATTCTCTGCTTGACTCTCAGTTTGGTAGCTGCTGCTTTTGTTAAGGCAAGTGTTTCTGCTCCGTACGTCAAGAGTGGGAGGACGCACTGACCTTTCTCTTTAGGCATGTAGGAAGCTCACTTTTAAAAGTTTCTCTTAGTTTTCCAAATGCTGCCCACCCAAGGCCGATTTTTCTCTTCAGTTCATGAGTCTGGTTATTCCTGCCAATCATAATTGCATGTCTCAGGTATTTATATCTATCTACGAGTTCTTTTTCTTTCCCACCAATACTAATGTTCTGGTTGGGTACCAAATTGGTCATGATTTTTGTTTTCGATATATTTATATTTAAACCTACATTTTCTGTAGCCACAACGAGTTCCTGTACCATCTCTCTTGCCATACCTAGATCTTTAGCTATTATAAGTATA